TTGGCCTGGTTAAACTTCACGAGGTTGGTACGGGCCCACCTCTCCAGCCTGTCAAGGTCCCTCTGGATGGCATCCCTCCCTTCCAGCGTGTCGACGGCACCACACAGCTTGGTGTCGTCGGCGAACTTGCTGAGGGTGCACTCCATGCCACTGTCCACGTCACCGACAAAGATGTTGAAGAGGGCCGGGCCCAACACGGACCCCTGAGGGACGCCACTCGTGAAGTTTACATAGTTTGTAACGCTGCAGTAGAGCTGCACATTGCAGCATCAATTGTTATGTTACAAATGAGAAAGTCAAGCTGAAGGTGAAGAAGAAAAATAGTGAGGAAAGAATACATACAAAGTCTAATTTTTTACAAGGGACACAAGAAAACTGTCATCAAGTTTTAGGTAGTATCCAAAAACAGAAAAATATGTCTATATTTGCCTTCTATCTATGCATAGATATATTTATCCTTCCACAGGTTTCTGAGAAATTTCAGCACCGCAAAATAAACTTCTGCAACGTAACAAACCTACTTTGCAAAGAGGCACCTTTGTGGTTGTGTTGGAAGTTTGTCGAAAAATCCTTGTGATTGTGCTGCAACTAGCTGAAAAAACCTTCATGTTCCTGCTACCAGTCCTTTTTTCCCTCTTTTTCCCCAGTTTGTTCCCTATATAGTGCAAAATAGTTGCCTGTACATTTTTCCCACAGTGTGTTATATTTGTCTAGCAAACATCAGAATGAAACATTTTTGAAAATGCAAGGAGACCATGTACTGTCAAGCTGTATTAAATATTTTAACCCATATGTTCCTTTAGTTATTTTGTTTGCTTCGGTGTCTATACTAATTTTAAAACTAATCTTTTGGGTTTTTATGTATACATTAAAAAAAACACCTCAGAGGATTTCATTACTACATCAGAATACATGTTCTTTCTAGAATACAAACCATTACAATGTTCATTATTACCCTATGAATGTATGTGGAAAATATAGTGGAATTCAAAGTCATGAATTTCCCATGAGAACAGAGACATTCAATGTCTCTATATGTGCGTGTGCAAAGTTAGAATATTACTTTTTTCACTTATGTGCAAATTTATATCGGTTGCCAACATGTTCACTGATTCCTCATAATATTTCCAGATCATTTCTATTAAAAATCTTCACATGAAACTAGCAATAACAATAAAAAACAAGGGGCAAACAGCGCAATTCATATATTATTGCTGTATTTTAAAATGTTGTTAATTACATGATGACACAAAAAATTTCCTCATACACTGCACTATCAAACTAAGTTCTACTACAGTATTTCTAAATTATTTCATTAAGTACATCATCAAAATGTATAAAATGCTGAATTCACAATGGTTTGTGACAAAAGCATTTATAAATATTTCTTTGAAATCAGATGTCAGTGCTATTACAAGCTTGAGCTTTAGGTGCTTATATTGAGGATTTACACTTTGGATGAGTGCAGTAACTGACTGGACAGTATAATGTGTGAACTGTATAGCACAGAGAGATAGCTATAGTATATGTTAACCACATTCTCTTAAGAGCCACATGATTTTTTTTTCTTGAAGAGCCTGTGAGTGGTTTATTAAATGGTCTCCTGGCTTTGCTGGTCACATAATGAAATGAGTGTTTTTAAGTTTTCAGAGAAGGTTTACACAGGAACAGAGTAGTCAGTGGAAGCTCTTTAGTCTGCCATAGTAATTGATTTAATATTTATGTATTACCACCAGAACTGTTTCAGTGTAGTACAGACACTTTGGGAATAGGGCTGTTGGTGCTACAGAATTTGTATGAGCTACAAAACATTGGTAATCCCATGCTTTTTCATTTATTGGCTGATGTAGACTACATAGTGAAGGGTACAATTTGAAAAGAAACACCAAAGAGTATGCTAGGAAGTTCATACAAAGCGTTTGTTGTGAAATCTGAAAAAGCTGTGATAAAGGTCTACAAAAGTCAGTTACATATTTTAAAAATTAAACGGAAGTTTCATTTATAGTCAATTTGTAAAGAAAGACAGAAATTCTGAAAGCTTAAGCATACTTCTTTGTAATCTTTCATTAAAATTATATTTATTAACCCAATCTTATGTCTCACTTTGTCTGGGAAAATAAATTAAATGCCATAAACACAAGTAACTAATACTGACACTTCAACAGACACCGTTCATTTCAAAACAAGCCCACATCTCTTCGACTTTGACAATTAGGAATCAATTTCTTCCCTTTTCTTATCACTTCACCTTAGATTTAGCCTTTGGTGAATTTGTGGACACAGTTTGCAATACAGTTTTCCAGATTGCCTCTTTTTGTCCTAATTAATCACAGCTTCTGCTTGCGCACTGAGCCAAGTCCTGTGCTCTCTTGAAAATGCATTCTTGGAAAATGATGGGTACAGAGACTAGTCCCAAGCCACTCAAGACACAGTCTGCATATTGTCTGATTACAGCTGGGCAATACGTGGTTAAAAACTGTGGTTTGGATACCGTTCTTCAGATTTATGACATACATAAATCATATTATTTAACAAGTTGATTTTAAAATGTTTCCCTAGGTTCTGAGAAATGTTTGTGCTGGATTATGCTGTGCATCCTAAATCAAAAGTCCAAGGGCTAAATTTCAAAGGACTGGGCTAAATTTTCCTCTTTGTGAGCAAAACGAACATCATCTCTTCAAGGAGTGACAGAATCAAAACAGTGGGCAAAAAATTTACCATCATATTGACCGCCTTTCTGCTAGAATAGGGTTCTTTCCTAAGATAATTTTTCTAGTACTTTTTCCTGTCCAATATGAATATATATATTTAAGCTCCAAACTGTTCAACCTTGTTAGTATTATACATCTATTTGAGAATAGGTTCTCTGAGGCAGAAAATGATTAATCTTTATTTTGAGAAAACTACAAGTGTCAATTTTCATTTATTTTGGTGATCTTCTTAGTTGTTGCCAGAGAAAACACTTTTAAAAAAATATTATTATTTTAAGCCTCAGTTGCTTGATTTTATTATCCTTAAAGTTGTGGTTTAAAAAGAAGTTACTTGTGATGCGGTCTAAATCTACATTCTAGATTGTAACTTCTGTTCTCTCTATGGTTTACATTTCAGGCTACACTATAGATCCCAGAATATAAACACAGAATTCAAGGGACTGAGCCTACCTTGTTGTATATTTTTCCCCTGCAGCATTAGTAAGCATGTGTATTATTACATCCATTTTCATGCCTCTTTGCTTCTCCATGCAATAGACTATTGCTTTTATTCATGAGGCCTGAAAATA